CAGATCTTCAATAAAGGTAAGTGTCATGTAACTGTGCATGTCTTCTTCAGTTTGTGTGTATTAAAATTAATATTTCATGTGTTAAAAATTTTTTTTTTCAATACTTTTGGGTGTCTTGCACGGATTAATTTGATTTCCATTATTTCTTATGGGGAAAATTAACTTGACTAACGATTATTCTGACTAACGATGAGCTCTCAGGAACGGATTAATAGCGTTAGTCGAGCGTCCACTGTATATAATAGAACATTACTAATATACAACATTTTTGCATATTTTTGTTGTAAACAAATATTGTAAACAAAATAATAATGAAAATATGAGTGTTTATTGTATTGAATACAAAAGTACCATATGGTACAATGAATGATATGGTATCATTGTACTGTATGGTACAATGTACCATTGCATCATATGGTACCATATGGTACCATTACACCATATGGTACCATAAGGTACCATTGCACCATATGGTACCATTGTATCATATGGTACCATTGTACCAAATGGTGCCATTGTACCATATGGTACCATTGTATCATATGATACCATTGCATCATATGGTACCATTGTATCATGTGCCATTGTGCCATATTGTACCATATGGTACCATTGTATCATGTGCCATTGTACCATATGGTACAATTGCACCCTATGGCACCATTGTACCATATGGTACCATTGTATTCAACACAATAACCGCACTAATATTTTCATCATTTTGTTTACAATAAACTTGTAAACAAGTTTTGTAAGCAATATAATGATAAACAAATTAGTGCAGTTATTGTGTGGAATACAATGAGTGTACACTAATACAATATACATTATACTGGTCTCACAGGCCACAATTGTTATTAGAAAAAGAAAAAAATAGAAAAGAAAAGAAAAAAGTATAAAAAACGTAAAATAAAAAAAATGGGATTTTGCGGAAGTCACTGATGTTGCCGCCACCCGGTCATTTTGGGTCAACTTCCCGCCGCTGTATCTCGGTAAGTACTGATCAGAAATTTTTGTTTTTTGTCTTATTACGTTCACAAAAATATTCTCTTTAATTCTGTAAGAAAAAATAATTTTTTTTTTTTCAAAATTTCTTGAACACTGGAGCACCACTTCAGATTTTGGCATTGGACCCTGAAGGGGTTAATCCATTCCTGAGAGCTCATCGTAAGCCAAAATTATCGTTAGCCGAATTAATTTTCCCCATAAGAAGTAATGGAAATCAAATTAATCCATTCCTGACACCCCAAAGTATGAAAAAAAAAAGTTACCACATGAAATATTAATTTTAATACACACAAACTGAAGAAAACATGCACACTTACTACTCTACTAAGAATAGAATACATGACACTTACTTTTATTGAAGATCTAGTGATGATTGATGGGATGGGAGGAGGGGAGAGTGTGGAAGTTATTGTTTAGAATGGGAATCCCCTGCCATTAGGACTTGAGGTAGCAAGTCATTTTCCAGGGTTACTTCCCTTCTTCTTTTAATGCCACTAGGACCAGCTTGAGAGTCACTGGACCTCTGTTGCACAACAAATCTATCCATAGAGCTCTGTACCTCCCATTCCTTTAAGACTCCTAAAATGGGCCATAACATTGTCATTGTACAGGTTGCCAACACGGCTTGCAGTAGCTGTGTCAGGGTGATTTTCATCCGTAAAGGTTTGCAGTTCAACCCACTTTGCACACATTTCCTTAATCTTTGAAGTAGGCAACTTCCTCAATTTCTCTCTCCCCTCCTCTGAAGCAGTTTCCTCAGGTCTGGCCTCTTGCTGTTGAAGATGATCTTGCAGCTCATCAGTGGTTAGTTCTTCATTGTCCTCCCCTCCCCACTAACCTCCAACCCCAAGGACTTCCCCAATGCCACAATGGATTCCACAACTGGCATACACTTCTCAGGGTTAGCCCCAAACCCTTCAAAATCCCTTTCTTCTACACATTGTGGCCACAGTTTCTTCCAAGCAGAGTTCAAGGTCCTCTTAGTCACTCCCTCCCAAGCCTTACCTATAAGGTTTACACAACTGAGGATACTAAAGTGATCTTTCCAAAACTCTCTTAGAGTCAATCGAGTGTCTGAGGTCACTTCAAAGCACTTTTGAAACATAGCTTTTGTGTAGAGTTTTTTGAAGTTTGAAATGACCTGCTGGTCCATGGGTTGCAGGAGAGGAGTGGTATTAGGAGGCAAAAACTTGACCTTAATGAAGCTCATGTCCCCAGAAAGTCACTCTGCCAAGTTTGAAGGATGACCAGGAGCATTGTCTAATACCAGGAGGCACTTAAGGTCCAATTTCTTTTCCATTAGGTAATTTTTCACATTGGGGGCAAATGCATGGTGTAACCAGTCATAGAAAAAGTCCCTAGTGACCCATGCCTTACTGTTTGCCCTCCACAGCACACACAAATTAGCCTTGAGGACATTGTTTTGCCTGAACACTCTGGGAGTTTCAGAGTGATACACCAATAGAGGCTTCACTTTGCAATCACCACTAGCATTAGCACACATCAAAAGAGTAAGCCTGTCTTTCATAGGCTTATGTCCTGGGAGTGCCTTTTCCTTCTGAGTAATGTAGGTCCTGCTTGGCATTTTCTTCCAAAACAGGCCTGTTTTGTCGCAATTAAACACTTGTTCAGGTTTCAATTCTTCACTGTCTATGTACTCCTTGAATTCCTTCCCATATTTTTCAGCCACTTTTTGGTCTGAACTGGCAGCCTCACCATGCCCTATCACATTATGTATGCTACTACAATTCTTAAATCTCTCACTCACATCATCACTAGTTGCAGGCATTTTTCTAATTAAATCGTCATGCAACTTCCTAGCCTTTTCACATATGATCGCTTGAGAGATGCTGTCTCCTGCTATCTGTTTTTCATTTATCCACACCAATAACAGTCTCTCAATATCTTCTATCACTTGTGGTCTCTGTTTCGAAAACAAACTTGCACCTTTTGCAAGAACAGCTTCCTTGATTGCCGTTTTGTTGGCCAAGATAGTAGCGTTGGTTGATTGGGGTTTGGTATACAACCTGGCCAGCTCCGAGACATGCACTCTACTTTCGTACTTAGCAATTATCTCTTTCTTCATTTCCATAGTAATTTTCACCCTTTTTACCACTGGGTTGGCACTAGAAGCTTTCTTGGGGCCCATGGTGAGTTATTTTGCAGTTAAAAGCACTAAAAACACTGTGATAATATGAAATGTACCGAATGTATGCTTAGATGCGACCACTGGCTGGCTTGTAAACACTGACACCCACGGGGCAGCTGAGGCCACACTTGGGATGCGTCCTGGACGAATCACATAAGGCGAGTTTTTTATCGTGAGGCGAGACAAAATTTTTACGTTCAAATGCTTTGTATGGCGGATTTAACGTAATGCGATGTGTTCGTAAGGCGGGGGTCCACTCTATTTACATTTACCTTGGAGGAGATGCTGGGATTGGTTTAGGGTTGTGGAAGATACGCAGGTTGGTGTATATTGTCAGTGGCCCTATATACCTCCAAAAACATAGGAGGAGTCAGTTTCGTGTCCTTTTTCTATCGCTTAATCACTTAACTTGCTGCACTGTTAATGCTGCACTTTATCGCTGGCTGGCTCTATAGCCTTTATTGACTCCTGCTGCTTTTGTATCATAGGTATCGTAGAATCACTGAAGAAGGCACATTCTCCCCTCTCTCTTCCTCCTTCACTCTCATAATTTTCAACAACTTCTTTCTTAAATTCCATCATGTTTCTCACTTTCTTTACCAAAGGAACTTTACTAGGAACTTTCTTTGGGCCCATGGTTGCTTATTTGCAGTTGCACTCAATAACCACAAAAACAATGGATTATAGTGAAATGTTTGGATGAATGAGCAGAAGTTTCCTCACTCACCCAGAGACACAGCCAGACTGACTCTCGAACGTGCGAATGGCTGACAGGCGGGTGGGTGGACGCATCCAGTATGGCCAATGAGCAAAATAATGGCCTATAACCGGAATAAAGTTTCGGCCAAAAAAAAAACGGGTGATAACTGAGTTGACCGATATCCGGAGCGGCCAATAACCGAGGGTCCTCTGTAATGTATTACAAGGAAAATGATAAATATTGTATCAAGAAATCTAATAACTTATTACAGATGAAAGTTGCTGGTAATAGAGTAAAAAAAAGAGTTAATGTTTTCACAGTGCGATTTGCTCAAATGTTATAAACTTTTCTATATTTGAATTTTTTTTTTCTGCCAATGTAAGTTTTCCTATCTATGCAGTATCATATTTCTTTTCAACAAAGAGTTTTACTCTGATAATTTAAAAACTATTGTAGATGAATGGTTCAGAGAACCGACACATTGATAAATTAGACACAAGTGCAACTCATGGGTATCTTTATTGAGGAGACATTTTGCCACACAGTGGCTTCATCAGTCCATACAAAGGAGAAACATGAAAAACAGGAGGAGAATGAGGTAATCAGTCCCTCAACCTTGAGTCGATGTGGTTAGTCCATCAATCTTGAATAAAATACAGCATATGTGCAGAGAAGTCGCTTATATACCGTAGGCAGGAGAGGTGCAGCAGACGTACATGGTGTCACATTTGTTCAATGTGGAAGTAGGTCGTGCCCAAGGGTTAGGCAATTGAACAATTCCCAAGTATTAAGATCCCAAGAAGTTGCAGTGTCTGACAGGATTGTAGATGAATGGTTCAGAGAACCGACACGTTGATAAATTAGACACACGTGCAACTCTTGGGTATCTTCATTGAGGAAACGTTTCGCCACACAGTGGCTTCATCAGTCCATGCAAAGGAGAAACTTGAAGAACAGGAGGAGAATGAGGTAATCAGTTCCTCAACCTTGAGTCGATGTGGATGTGTGTCGCGAAACGTTTCCTCAGTAAAGATACCCAAGAATTGCACATGTGTCTAATTTTGATCAATTTAAAAACTAATCATATTTTAAATGCATTATTGTGGGTTTATAATAAAATTGATAGCATTAATTTTTTTGCAGCTTGTGTGTTTTGCTGGTGAAGCCACGCATAATTGTTATTATGGGACGGTCCACGGTGCCTTGGAGACTGGCTGGAGAGAGGCTGACACACTTATCAAACATTTGAAAAGGTAAATTAGATGAAATTATGTCTTTTCTGTTTATTATCTATGTCTGGGTGAAGTCAGGTGAATAAAATGCAGAAAATTTCTCCACTGACTTATGCATTGTTCTTAACCTGAATCAAGTGAGGCAAATTGATCATTCATTGTCTTCAATCTGAATCAGGTGAGTCAAGTTGATCACTCATTGTCCTTAACCTGAATCAGGTGAGGCAAGTTAATCATTCATTGTCCTTAACCTGAATCAGGTGAGTTAAGTTGATAATTGTCCTTAACCTGAATCAGGTGAGTCAAGTTGATCATTCATTGTCCTTAACCTTTATCAGTTGAGTAAAGTTGAACTGAATCTTCTCCATTTTCTGAATAATTCTCATTCATTTGTTTACTGTAAGCAATGAGTTGATTCATCAGGTTAAACAGCCTATACACCCCTTCATTAAAGGATATTTTTTCAAACCCGGGTTGTTTCTCACGAAATTGTGTGATGTAGTTAAGGAAACACATTCACCCTCACTCAGTCTCTAGCTGTCCTGGAAGAAGTTCACACACATCACAGTTCAAATGGCTCTGTTAAATCTCCACTAAAATTCCTTGACAAAAAAGGCTATAGTAAATGATGTGTACGTGCTGATCAAGAGGTGGGAAGTACAGTGCCTTCACTCTGAAGGAGGAGTGGGAATATTTGCAGTTTTGAACAGTAGTATCAGCGCACCTTTGGCAAGACAGTGATGGAGTGAATGACACTGAAAGTGTTCCTTCTTTTTCGGGTCACCCTACCTCAGTGGGAGACGACCGGTGTGTTAAAAAAAAAAAATATACAATTCTTGAGTGCCTGTACTCTTGAAACATTCAAACACTCACACATCCAAACACACGTAAAACAACCAGGATAAACAAGAATACTAAAGTTTACATCCAGTAGTGACAGTATGATCGTCAGGATGATAAACTCGAGAAAAGATGTGTACAGTGGTCCCTCGTTTTTCGTAGTTAATCTGTTCCTGGAGCTGCTACTATTAATGAAATCTACGATTTGCGAGTCAATTTTCCCCATAAGAAATAATGTAAATACAATTAATTCGTTCCTGACACTCAGAAGTATTAAAACAAAAAGTTTTTTACATGAAATATACATGTAGTACATAAACAATACAATGGGAAATGATGAATGAAACATTAACAGCATAACACTTACCTTTATTGGAGATTCTTCTTAGTGTATGGGAGACTGGAGGAGGAGAGAGATTGGATTGTTTATAGTTTGGAAGGGGAATCCCCTTCCAGCAACACCTCAGGTACCAATTGCTTTTCTGGGGTTGCTTCTCTTCTCTGTTTCTTAATGCCACTAGGACCACCTTGAGAGTCACTGGAGTCCTGTCTCGCAAAATAACTGTGGAGAGAGCTCTGTTTCTGGTGTCTCTTTAACACTTCCCTAAAATGGCCCAAGACTTTGTCACTGTACATGTTGCCAACATGGCTTGCAACAACCTTGTCAGGGTGATGTTTCTCCATAAAGCTTTCCATCTTACCCCACATAGCAAAAATCTCTTTAATTTCTGAAGAAGGTGCTATCTTCCATCTCTCTTCCTCCCTCCTCTGCAGCAAGATTCTAAGCTGCGATCTGTTGCTGTTCCTGCTGAAGCTCTTGCAGCTCCTCAGTGGTGAGCTCTTCGTTGTGGTCTTTCACCAATTCTTCCATATCCTCCAAACTCCAAACTCCCATGGAACTCCCCAGTGCCACAATTGATTTTACAACAGACATAGGCTCATCAGGGTCAGTCCCAAACCCTTCAAAATCCCTCTTGTCGACACAATCTGGCCACAATTTTCTCCAGACAGAGTTCAAAGTCCTGGTAGTCACTTCCTCCCAAGCCATACCTATAAGGGTTATGCAATGGAGGATACTGAAGTGTTCTCTCCAAAATTCCCTTAGGGTCAAGTGAGTGTCTGTGGTCACAGTCAAGCACCTGTGAAACATTGCTTTGGTGTAGAGTTTTTTAAAGTTTGCAATGACCTGCTGGTCCATGGGCTGGAGGAGAGGAGTGGTATTCGGGGGCAAGAACTTTACTATGATGAGCCCAAACTCCTCGAAAATTAGGTCATCCAAGTTTGGAGGATGAGCAGGTGTATTGTCCATTACTAGCAGGCACTTGAGATCCAATTTCTTTTCCAGGAGGTAATTCTTCACACTAGGGCCAAACACTTCATTGAACCACTCGATGAAAATTTCCCTCGTGACCCATGCCTTACTATTAGATTTCCAAAACACACACAATTTACTCTTCATAACATTGTTTTTCCTGAACACTGTGGGATTTTCAGAATGGTACACTAGTAATGGCTTCACTTTGAAATCCCCACTTGCATTAGCACAGAACATTAGCATCAGCCTGTCTTTCATAGGCTTGTGTCCTGGCATTGCCTTTTCCTCCTGTGTAATGAAGGTCCTCTTTGGCATTTTCTTCCAAAAGAGGCCTGTTTCGTCACAGTTGAACACTTGTTCAGGTTTCAGTCCTTCAGCCTCTATGTACTCCTTGAATTCATGCACATATTTTTCAGCCGCCTTGTGGTCCGAGCTGGCAGCCTCACCATGCTTTACCACACTGTGTATGCCAGTTTTTTTTTTTTTTTTTTTTTCAACAAGTCGGCCGTCTCCCACCGAGGCAGGGTGACCCAAAAAAGAAAGAAAATCCCCAAAAAGAAAATACTTTCATCATCATTCAACACTTTCACCACACTCGCACATTATCACTGTTTTTGCAGAGGTGCTCAGAATACAACAGTCTAGAAGCATACACATATAAAGATACACAACATATCCCTCCAAACTGCCAATATCCCAAACCCCTCCTTCAAAGTGCAGGCATTGTACTTCCCATTTCCAGGACTCAAGTCCGACTATATGAAAATAACCGGTTTCCCTGAATCCCTTCACCAAATATCACCCTGCTCACACTCCAACAGATCGTCAGGTCCCAAGTACCACTCGTCTCCATTCACTCCTATCTAACACGCTCACGCACGCTTGCTGGAAGTCCAAGCCCCTTACCCACAAAACCTCCTTTACCCCCTCTCTCCAACCCTTTCGAGGACGACCCCTACCCCGCCTTCCTTCCCCTATAGATTTATATGCTTTCCATGTCATTCTACTTTGATCCATTCTCTCTAAATGACCAAACCACCTCAACAACCCCTCTTCTGCCCTCTGACTAATACTTTTATTAACTCCACACCTTCTCCTAATTTCCACACTCCGAATTTTCTGCATAATATTTACACCACACATTGCCCTTAAACAGGACATCTCCACTGCCTCCAACCGTCTCCTCGCTGCTGCATTTACCACCCAAGCTTCACACCCATATAAGAGTGTTGGTACTACTATACTTTCATACATTCCCTTCTTTGCCTCCATAGATAACGTTTTTTGACTCCACATATACCTCAACGCACCACTCACCTTTTTTCCCTCATCAATTCTATGATTAACCTCATCCTTCATAAATCCATCCGCCGACACGTCAACTCCCAAGTATCTGAAAACATTCACTTCTTCCATACTCCTCCTCCCCAATTTGATATCCAATTTTTCTTTATCTAAATCATTTGACACCCTCATCACCTTACTCTTTTCTATGTTCACTTTCAACTTTCTACCTTTACACACATTCCCAAACTCATCCACTAACCTTTGCAATTTTTCTTTAGAATCTCCCATAAGCACAGTATCATCAGCAAAAAGTAACTGTGTCAATTCCCATTTTGAATTTGATTCCCCATAATTTAATCCCACCCCTCTCCCAAACACCCTAGCATTTACTTCCTTAACAACCCCATCTATAAATATATTAAACAACCATGGTGACATTACACATCCCTGTCTAAGACCTACTTTTACCGGGAAATAGTCTCCCTCTCTTCTACACACCCTAACCTGAGCCTCACTATCTTCATAAAAACTCTTTACAGCATTTAATAACTTACCACCTATTCCATATACTTGCAACATCTGCCACATTGCTCCTCTATCCACTCTATCATATGCCTTTTCTAAATCCATAAATGCAATAAAAACTTCCCTACCTTTATCTAAATACTGTTCACATATATGCTTCAATGTAAACACTTGATCTACACATCCCCTACCCACTCTGAAACCTCCTTGCTCATCCGCAATCCTACATTCTGTGTATGCCAGTATGGTTCTTAAATCTCTCAAACCAGCCCTTGCTGGCCTTAAATTCACTCACATCACCACTATTTTCAGGCAATTTCTTTACCAGATCGTTGTGCAACTGCCTAGCCTTTTCACAAATAATCGAAGTCATTAGAGTATCTCCTGCTAATTGTTTCTCATTTATCCACACCAATAATAACTTCTCAACCTCTTCGAGTACTGGTGATCTCATTTTTGTCAGCATAGTTACTCCCTTTGCAACAACAGCGTCCTTGTTTTCCTTTTTCTTGGCCACTATGGAACATAAGATTGTGTAGGGTTTCTTATACGTCCTGGCCAGTTCGGCTGCACTTGTACCACTTTCATATTGTTCAATGATGTTTTTCTTAAATTCAATCGTATTTCTCACCTTCTTTACCACAGGTTTGGCACTAGGAGCTTTCTTTGGAGCCATGGTAGCTTATTTAGTACTTGCAAGCACTAAAATAAATGGAATATTATGAAATATTTCGCTGGAGCATGTGAGGGGACCTTCGCTCACTGGTAAACAATGCCAGACTGGCTGCCGCCCTGGCTCACGCCGTGGGTACGCATCCCGGACGAACTACTACTCGCGAGTCAACCTATAAAAAGCGAGCCCATGTTTATACGAAAATACCCCTATGATTTCCAAAATCTATGATTGCCGAGAACTACAAAAAGCGAGGGACCACTATACTTGCAACTGTGACTTAAAAACATGGACATTCCTGACTCTAACAGACACTGGTAACTCCAGTTATACAGTCTGGGAGCTACATAACAAAAGGTTCTTTCTGCCAATGATTTTGCC